TAAGTACGATATCCTTGAGATTTATCTACCCTGCAACATGGCCTTTATTATTGAATGGTTTCTAATCTTGGAATCTGTTATTGAAACGCCATCAGCAGTGCGAGGTTATAATGGTTATGTTGCTGCTCTTATCGACAATAAGATCGCACATTTTTCAATGAAACTCTACCACTTCCAATCCCTGGAACTGCTGGTTATTTTGATGGCTTTGCATCCACGTTAACAATGAACCTTGCCGTTATCATGGCTTTTGCGATTAAAGAGTCGACAGGATTCACAGCCATTTTCCCTGTTGTCAATTTGTATGCTGTCTTCTTTGGGGTAGTTGCTGGCGTTTTCGTTCTAATCTTGATAATTGTTGAAATTTCTGAAAGTCAAGTTCCTCCCAATTTCGGCAAAGGTGGTTTCTTTCCATATGGATTTCTAGGTGTAATGAAAAGAGCAGCTACTTGTTTGCAGCTAAAGAACAAATAGATAGCGAAATTGAACTACTGATGCTGAGCGCAATTTAAATAGATAAAAAGATCTAACAAACCAAAGCACATAATATTATCAGCAAAGATAACAATATGAAAGACAAGATCTTTATGATCCTGGATCTCAAATTCCAGGGGTCAATTGTGAATTATTTATCAATCAGATAGATTCATTGAAGAATAAAAAAGATCACAGTTTCGAGTTCAAAACATTAACAGGAACTGGTAGTTTGTTAGGTCTGGCAACAGTCGCTATTTAAATTATGGAAATACAAAAATCAGTGAGAATTTATGTCTCAAATTCAGAATTTATTGAAGTATTACTTTGACAGACTTGATATGGAAATTCAATTTAAAATGTTCTTTATGACTATACCACTAGCCAAAAACGGAATGGTTCAAAAGAAGAATCCACGAAAGTGGAAATATTCAGACCAAATCTCGGTGGCGATTACTACTCAATGCATTTGAATATTGAAAGATTGGTTGGAAAAATGATGTTCATCAAATATCTAAATTATTACAAGAATTTTAAAATATCGTTGCTCAAAATAAATTCGATGTTAGTTTGGTCAAAGACTTGTTTAGTAGTATATGAAAACCAGGGTTCACACCACCCTAACGCCACTTCCGTCTGTTGTCTTTGAGGAAGTGTCATTACGGTGGTGTCAACCCTGGTTTCATCGAGAAAAAAAAATTATTCAAGAACATCGGTGTTAAACTTTTGTACATTGATTATTCACAAGCATGCTAGAAGCTTCACTTCCTATGAGCATGGTTCTGAAAAATAGTAATAAACAGGCAAATGATTAAAAAAAAAGTGTTGTAATTTATTAAGAAATTAACTAATTAACATAGTAATATTCATTGTCATGTGTCATTATCTAATCAACATCTTAGCTAGCTTGAATTTATTCTTTACTAGATGAAGATGTAATGAGAGTACATAGATTCAACAAATTGATGATTTGCACTTTGATAAAGTGTAATAATAAGCTTAAGTAATTTTCTATACATTGTAGCTTAATATCAGTTATGACTAGCTAACAATTATTATTTAAACATAGATAAGCTAGAATGATTAACCGTGAGAAAGTTTGAATTCATAATAAGTAACATCAATATTCAATTGATCATCTTTATTGGATATACATATGTAAGATACAAGTTGTAATAGAGATTAAATCACAGTCAAATTTGACATAGTATTACTCAAATTACTGTTGTTTAGAATGAAATAATTATAGTATATCATCAAAAAGAGTCCAACAAATAGCAGAAAGCATGATATCAGAGGACAATGAGAAGCGACTATCACCAACATTATGAGTAATCACACAAACACAATAACTAAGCGACTTTCAAGGAAAATAAAGTCTTATATAGTGAAGTGATATTAATGATTTTGATTGTGTTTCTTATGCGCATGAGCAAACATAAAAGTTTTGTACATAAAACCAGTTCACATGAAAAAACGCAATCATTCAGTCGTTTACCCAGCTTATTGCAGCAAATATGCCTTATCGATGTGGAAATTGTGCTTTTACAGCTAATTCAATGCTTGATTATATCAATCATGTATGTGCTTCAACGAGTCATAATGAACAACAAAGTTATTTAAATCAAAGCCAACAAATATTGTGTTTCAACTGTGATTTTTCAACATTAGATGCTGAAGAGTATCTGGCACATTCATGTGAAACTATTCCATTCTCTCCTTGTGTGAATGAGTGTGTAATCTGTACATCAGTTGATCCAATTGTTGTTGCAGAGTATCTGACACATTTGAGTGAAGCTACTCCGTCATCTCCTTGTTCAACAGTTGACCCAATTGTTCCATCACAAGTTGAAGAACAAACTTTAACACAAACGCCTTCATCTTCACCCGGTGTAATTAAAAAGGATTCACACTCAACAAAAGGTACAAGTTTACTTCAAAAAGGGAAGAAACTAAATATTCATGTGACAAATGTAAACGTATATTCTCTAGACGAAATGTATTTCAAGAACACATTAAAGTTTGTGGTGTTCCGTGTGTGCCAATTGAAAAAACTTTTAATAGGATCGAAGGATTAAATTGTATTCAAAGTGCAACGCACAATAAACTTACTGAATACACAATTGAAAAACCAACTGCAAAAGATCTGGACAAGTTGCAACAAGACATTCAATCTAGTGTATTCTACTTGTTAAAAACAATCCTTGACTCTCATCCTACCATCAAATTCAATTTAACTGTTGAAATAAGTTTTGAAAAAGTGACCAGTGAAGGAGTTTGTTATTTGGAAAAAAGACCTTTCGTTTCTGTTATGAAGCAAATTTTACGAGGTGATGATCTACAAGAAAAAATTAGTTCTACATTTGATAAATTGAAAGAAACAGTTGCACAATACACTGAAAGAGGTACTGGTTGGACAATCATTTCAATTGATAGAGTTATCATTCATTTAGGACGTTTCAAGGCACATACAGGTGGTTGCTCAGATAAAAAATTACCACAAGCAATTGTTAATAAAAGATGTCTTTTGAGGATGGAGGTCACCAGTGATTGTTTCATGTATTCTGTTTTAGCTGTATTACATCCAAAAAGCAGCGATAGTCACCCTTATGACATTATGAACCTTACATCAATTTATATGACTTCTCTGATGTGAGAGGCAACGTCTCATTGGATCTAATCAGTAAATTTGAAAAGAAAAATAATTCAGCTGTCAATGTATTTTATGACATTGATGAATCTTATGTTATTCCATTGAAAATCAACAAACAACGAAATCAAAATACAATCAAACTATTTCTAAATGATGAACATTATTATCCTATCAGAAACTTCAATCGTTTGGCGAGCAGTAATCGTTCAAATTCAAGACATTTTTGTGAATTTTGCATGAATTCTTTTATCAGCTTCGAAAAACTGAATAAACACATTGATGATTGTTTGCGCATGTCTCCAGCTAACATCATAATGCCAAAAGCAGGTCATCCTAAGCAGAAGATTAAATTCAAGCAATTTAAATGGATTCAACAATTTCCATTCGTAATGCACGCAGATTTTGAAACGTTGTCAGTGAATTCACAAGATGCGTACAAGGTCAAACAATTGCCTCCGTGTAGTTATGGTTTAGTTGTCGTAGATTGGAATTCTCAAATAATTAAATCTGATTTTTGCCGCGGACCTGATGCTATTAAAAATTTCCTTCCAAAGCTGTTCAATTTGAAACAAGAGCTAAGTTTGATTTTACAAAAACTCAAAAAAGCCAATTGTAATGACACCACAAGATGATGAAAGTTTTGTTGCTGCAAGAACTTGTTACATCTGTAAACAAGGACTATGGTCAGATAAAGTCAAAGAACATGATCATCTAACTGATAAATATCGTGGAGCAGCTCATTCTAGATGCAATCTTGCTCTTGTAATACCTGATAAAATACCAGTGATTTTTCACAATTTGAAAAACTTTGATGGTCATATAATCTTTGAGAATTTGAGTCATGAAACAATCAAGAGAGGATTAAATGTTATTCCACACACAATGGAAAAATATACTGCATTTTTATTTGACTGCTTTATATTTTTGGATAGTTTTTCTTTTCTTCCAGCTAGTTTGGAATCATTGGCGGAAAGTCTGACTGATGAAAAAAAGCAATATTTTCTCAAAATGTTGTTCCCAAATCATGCTACTGATCTTCTCACCAAAAAAGCTGCTTTACCATATGAATATATTGACTCATATTCAAGATTTGAAGAAAATAAACTTCCAGACATTGATAAGTTTTATTCATCATTAACTGATGAAACAATAACTCCTGAACTTTACGAACACCTTGATTTGATCTGGAAACAATTCAACTGTCGAACACTCGGTGATTTTCATGATATTTATCTGAAAGTTGATGTTTTATTGCTCACTGCTGTATTCGAAAATTTCCGACAAACCGTTAGATGCTTTTTCGATTTGGATCCATGTCATTTATTTTCGTCACCAGGACTTTCATGGGCTGGAATGCTTAAGATAACTGGTGTAACCTTAGACCTAATGACAGACATTGACATGCTTCTAATGATTGAGAAAGGAATAAGAGGAGGTCCAACATCCGTAGCCGATAGACACTGTGTTGCAAATAATGAAAATTCCAGCAACTATGATGAAAATAAACCGAAAAATCATATTAAATACTTCGATGTTAATAACCTCTATGGCTATGCTATGAGCCAAAAATTACCAATTGACGAGTTCAGATGGTATGAAGGTGAAATCGATATTGAGCAATTGCTTAATGAAGCAAAAGAAACTAATTATTGATATATTTTCCAGGTTGACTTGGAGTATCCTGATGAACATAATGATTTCCCGCTAGCTCCTCACAAAATGGAAATTGACTACAATTCATTGAGTGATTATCAGAAAGATATCATCAAACAGTTGACACAAATTGATTTGAATTAAACATCATCTGAAAAGTTAGTTTTTACTTTTTTGGCTCGTGAGAAATATGTAGTACATTATGCAACATTGGATTTTTATGGGTATGAAGTTGAAAAAAGTGCATCGTGTGATTCGATTCCGCCAAGGATCATGGTTAGCTGAATATGTTGATTTTTGTACTAAAATGAGACAACAAGCCACTACTGCTTTTGAAAAAGATTTTTGGAAATTGATGGTCAATTCAATTTATGGAAAAACAATCGAAGACAAACGAAAGCATAGAAAAATTTGTTTTGCTTTTGATGATCATGAAGCTGAAATCGCGTTAAGATCACAGCTATGCAAAAGATATATCATCATGAGTGAAAACAGAGTGATATTCGAGTTGTTCAATGGTAAAGTCGAGATGAATAAACCAATAATGGTTGGTTTTACTGTTTTGGAAATGGCAAAGTTGAAGATGTATGAAATTCATTATGACAGCTTTAAACAACATTTTGGAGAAAGGATCAAATTACTGTACACTTATACTGATAGTTTAATCTATGACATCAAATCAGATGATATCACCAAAGATATGGAGGGCCTTTCATCACTAATGGATTACAGTAATTATCCAAATGATCATGTTCTTTTCTCAGATTGCAATCTAAAAAAAGTTGGTTATTTGAAAGATGAGATGGGTGGGAAAGTAATTGAAGAGTTTGTTGCTCTGAAACCAAAACTTTATGCAATTAAAGTTGAAGATGCAATTATGAAAAGAGCTAAAGGAGTGCAAAAGTCGGTTTTGAAGAAGAAAATCAATTTTGATGATTATCTCAATTGCCTGTACAATAATGAAGTTGAACGAGCCAGACAAACAAGACTCGGATCTCATAAACATATACAGGGTGACAATTCATAACCGAGAGACTTTTTTTCGAGATAACGGCCGAACGGTCCATGCAGTGGCCCTCATATTTTTTTCTGAGCATTAGGGCCTCAAAGGTAAATGTTTGAGCTACTTTGCAGAAATTCGAAAATTTTTAAATGTCTATGGGATTTTACATAGAAAACATCATTTTTTAGAAAAATTGGAATTTCGACCTCAAAAGGCGATTTTTTTTCATAAAGTCATCAGTCAGCTACAAGTTGTTCTTTAAACACATTTATTCACATGATACATTCGATATTCAGAAAAATCGCCTTGGAGCTCGCAATTCCAATTTTTCTAATAAATTCTATTACTCTATGTAAAATCCCATAGAAATTCCAAAATTTTCGAATTTCTGCAAAGTAGCCCAAACATTTACCTTTGAGGTTTTGAAGAAGAAAATCAATTTTGATGATTATCTCAATTGCCTGTACAATAATGAAGTTGAACGAGCCAGACAAACAAGACTCGGATCTCATAAACATATAATTTATATGTATGCTAACGATAAAATATTGATGTCACCACTTGATGATAAAAGATTTTTAATTAATAATACTGATTCATTGGCCTACGGGCATTACAAAATTGGAGAGCATGAGCTTCAGCAACAATAAAGTTTGTTTTTCATTAATAAAATGTTTGCATTTTTTATAAGTCGAATAAAAAAATTTCGGGTTATTAGCAAATAAAATAAAGAAAACACAAAAATATCCACAAGCTTGAGAATTGTTTGATTGTATTTTCATATCATTGTAGGTAAATCCTCTTTTCGCATTTCTTTCCAAAAAAGTCAAAATATCACCAGGAGGAGGTCGCCCGAACGAATCAAATTAATGTCCTTCTCCATTTTTATTTATGCTTAGAGCAACCCAGTGACTTCCAGGTTCATAGCTTTTATCTAAATTAACAATCATTGATGTTGGAAGGTTAATAACCCTTGGTAGTCTATCAATTGCAAGAACTCCATGAAAATATGAGACATTTTTCAAAAGTTTATTAATCTTTATTGTGGTTAACATATTTAGTAGTCAACTGTTACATTCCTGTTTTGATCAATAGTGATAACGTTATCAAATTGAGCAAAAATGATTGCTTTGATAGAAGTAGACAATTTCTTAGAAAACTTTACATGTAATCTTATATTTCATCTCTTCAACAATGACAGAGTTCCATTCGCAGCCCCTATTGATCCATCAGGAGTAAGATCAAATGCAAAAAGTGTTTTTGTTTTACCAAATTCTTCATATGAAATATCAAGTTGCGGCTGACCTTCATCTTGTCCCATAGCTCTGTAAAGGTTGACAAATTCTCTCATGTGAAGTTTTTTCTCGAAATTTGGTTGATATGGTAAGCTAGGAATCAAATTTCCGTCAGCTTGTAATGCAATATAGTTGATGTTAAAATTTTGAAAATTATAAGGATCTTTTGTTAATGATCCAATGTGAGCTGCATCATCAACAAAACAATTACAACTCTTCGCGGTAATATACCAGAAAACAAACTTTCAATTGTTGCACCCACTAAATTTGAGCTTATTGAAAAAACACGTATTTCATTTCTAGTAATGAAATATTTTGCAGGTGATTTTATCAAACCTTTGAGAATACTAATTTGTGTATCAGGGAACAATTTAACTCGACGTATGTGTAAAGTGATTGCATTCAGCTGTACTTGATAATTTTCTGTATCAGTTGCGTCTAATTTTATTAAAGGGAAGCCTTCAGGTGACTTGTTAAAACGAAAAGATATTGGGACTGCATTGATTAACAGCTTATCCTGTTCACATAAAGGCAGATGCATTCTAAAGTATAGATCGAAAATTCCATTTGCTAGTCTTGTTGAATCAGATTCATCCATTCTACCAGCATCAATGTTATTCTTGACTCTAAACAATGTGTCTTCAAACCATGACTGATAATGATAGCGGTTACTGGCTTGTGAAGTATTAACAGTTCCAACGATCAAGTCAATCTGATCGAACAAAGAATTACCAAAATTTTCAACTGTTTTTACTTTAGTAGCATCAGCTGCGGAACCATCAGTTTTAGTAATCGAAACATTTAGATGAACCATAGTTGCTTGTAAATCAGTAAAATCATCACTCGCAGGAACTAATATTTCAAAGGAACCGCCTTTTTAAATGCTAGAGGTAGGTCTATATTCTACTGCATAGCTACTTGAAATAGCTTTTTGAGTTGGAGGCACAGGAAAATATTTCAAGTTCTGACTTTGTAGCAGGAAAAGATGATTGATGAAGGTACTCCATTATTTAAAAATGTCAGTATATTTTTTCTTTTTTGTTAATCTTTTTCTTTTCAATTTCTTTCTTTTTTCTTGTGAATTTTTCTTAGTTTTTTGAAGCTTACGCTTTTTAACCTTTTTTGTTATCTTTCGTCTTTTTCTTATACCACTGCCGATTTGATCAATCGCATTAACAAGCTCATTCAAGCCACTTTTCGCAGCTGTTTTTAAACCTTCTCTACCTCTTGTTCTTAATGAGTTTTTCAGATTTTGATTATCAAGTACGTCTTGACCAATATCTAAGCCTGTTCTGAACAAAGATTTTAAAATAGGGATACCAATCCTCTTCAAAAAACTTCCTACTCCGTACCCTCGTTGATAAGGTTGACCCTTGAAAACTTCAATATCATCAAGACCTGCTCCAGCTTGTGACTTGTAATGATTTGAAAAATCACTATCACACGGACAATAATTCATTCCAATTTTTATTTATGCAATATGATTGTTGTTCTTATACTACATCTTTCTAATGAAATGTAAACTAATAAAAACTCTTCCAGTCTTGAACTTCATTGGGGCCCCCATTTCATCAGTAAGCTTGATACTGATATCTTCAATTTTATTGCTTCTCACTGGATAGTAGTGTGGCACATTATAAGTCATTTGACCGATTTTTTCAATCTGATCTCTCCTTAATGGTACAACTCTCAATCATCTTGTCTTTGAATCACCAACATAATGATCTTTTATTATATCACTATAAATAAACATGAGATGAGATTTTGTGCTAGTATCCGGTTTATGTTGAGCGATCCTAACAGTAGGATTATCTGATGATTCATCAGTGATAGCATTCATGTAATTGTGATAATCAAATCCAAGCATGTTCAACAAGACCTCACTAGCAAATGCTGGGTAAACAAAAGAGTTTGATTCAGGCATCACAATTCCTTCAATTGAAACTTTATTTTTCTTCCTTTCATCCGTAATAGTTTTTAAAATAGGTGGTCTCACAGTTTCTGACTAAGGTGCATGGAGTCCAAGATCAGAATAGGCTTGAGCTATAATTGCATTCAATTCACTAACGAGACTTTCAATCGTGTCATTCTCAAAAAAAAATCAAAAAGTGTATATTTTTCGCTTGCACAGGAAGGAAACCAAAAAGTAGTACGATGTTTAAGTGCTTTATGAGCAAGAGGATAAAAAATTTCACGTATTCCTACAAAACAATTACCGTCTAATTCAAGAGAGTCTCTTAGTCTATTTGTAAAATGAGAAATTTTGTTTTTAGGAAAAATATCCATAGAAGCATTGGAAATCACGTCAACAGTGAATTCATTGTTGCTGAACATTTTCAACTCAACTATTGAATGTATTAGGATAACCTAACCATTTAACAAAATATTCAGTTTTTCCTGTTTTGCTATTTTTACGACTTTTTAATACTTTCTCAATCTTATACAGATTCTGTGCTTCTACCGGTTGTAGCTCGTAATGATGAAATATTGAAGTACTGATGGGTACTCTTAGAAAATTTCTTTTGACCTGTTTATATAAATTATAAGTTTCTTGTTTTTGTAACCAATCTGCAGTTTTATTTAGTGTTGCATCAGGTAATTCAATTCTTGCTACATCAAACAATCGCTTTAAACCTCCAAATGAGCCACCAGATGTTGGATCATAGTATATCTTTTTCAAAAGCCTAGACGTTTCAGATTTGTCCATGTCAAATCAGCTGCAGTATCAGCTCTTTGCATTAAATCTTTTACGTGTTTGTTTGCTACATAATGTTGAATTGAAGGATTCTTTCTTATAACTTTAATGACCCTTCCAAGACCTTTTATTGGCATTTTCTGCTTTCTGGGTGAAGGATGTTTGATTCTCATATATTGCACTATATCATGAATATTACTGTTAGCTATTGGATTCCCAATATTATCCAAAATGTTTCCTTGTTCATCAACTAATTTTGGAATGTTTCTGAGAGTCATTTCCAAAGTTTTATCTCGTGTTATTGGTTCTTCATATTTTGCAAATCTAACTTTCGATTCTTTCTTAGGTGTTGACGTAATAGGTAGTGAAATAGGCTGTCTTGCTTCATCGTGTATTTCAGGTTGATTAAATTCAGAAGGATAATAATTACTAAACCTTGAGTTTTTGAAAGAAGCTTCAGAAATTGTTGAGGGTCCATCACTTGGAAAGTATTGTAAAGAGGGAAGATCAGTCTGCAAATATTGAATATTTGGTGTACTTTTATTTGAAAATTTGTCATATTTTGTTAGCATTTTAGTGAGTAAGTTTACTTTAACTTCGGAATGTTAGAGTTCACCAAAGTTTCGAATGAATTTGTATTTTTATGATAAATTTTTTGTAATTGATCTTCAGGGATCAAAGCCATACGAGTAACTGTGTTCATTCTAAAATTTTGTTCGCTGCAATCCTACCTAGGATTGTGATTACTGACATCAATAAGCTTGTCAAAAAACCTCCTCCTCGTTGGTTAAACAAATTTCTTTTCAAACTGTGCAACTTTGTTGATGCTATTTTTCTCAAAGTTTTCTTATATGGTTTAAGTTTCTTTTTCACTTTTCCAGGAATTTTTATTGTTCCTTTTAATACTTGTCTAATTATCTCACTTATCACAGAATAGATCTTTGGAGAAGCATGTTTAAGAATCTTTTTCTTCGTAATTGAAGTCTTAGCTTTAGCCGATTCTTCTAATGAAGGCAAACATAACAGACATCCTTTTAAAGTCATGGTTAATTATTATTTATTTTGAAATTCTTATACAATTACAGTAAATATGATACAGCATAATTAGTCTCACCAAGAACATTTTTCATTAGCCTTAATTCTTGAAGAGTATCAGGTTTAAGATCGATAAAAAGATAACTAAAAGGGTCTCGAATTGCATCTTGATAAATTGCTTGAAACTTTTTCAATTTCAATGGGAACATTTGTCTTGCAATATTTGTTGCTAATGATTGATCACGTGGGTTTTTGAATAAAACTAGATATTGTGCATTGAGTGTAATATTACGTGATTCATTACCTTTCATGAAAAAATTTTGTACAATCAAGATTATTGATAAGTTGCGATGATGTGATCCTTTTGTAAACATCTCGCTAATCGCTTTTGAGCTAGCAGACTCAATCATTAAATCATCAATAATGATCCATTCAGGATGTGTTCCATCAAATTTGTCTAAAATATTCTCAGGAAGACCTCTAATGAACTCAACATTATTGAAAGTCTCGAAAATTGATTGATATTCGCCATAAAAATAGGTAATCTTAGTAGGAGCTGGCTTACAATATTGATTCACTAGTTTTCTGATCCAATAAGTCTTACCACATCCTGTTGGTCCACTAACAATCATTGTAAATGGATGCTTTAAATAAACATTGTAAAAAAGACATTTTTGTGTTTAGAAAATTTTTATTATTCTTTTCATTTCTTAGACAAGGCTACATAGGAAAATGATCATGAAAATGAAATCAAAGTTTTCATTAGCGAAATTTGTTAATAACTTTGACCAAAGATGCCAAATAAGGATTGTTTTCAATCCTAAATCTCAAGGCACGCATATTGTTGGCTGTAATTCGCTCTTGAAACATGTCTGCAGAAACAGCAACATCTAATTGCAATGGTCCTTTAATCTTAGCAAGAAAAGACGCATAGAGATCCATTGGATGATTCCGTAAAGTCTCTTGGATCCGATTCTCTTGTACATCAGGCCAAGTTGCTGTAGCACCAGTAAAACTAGAAAGATGTAGATAAATATAGATGTCAGCCAGTAATAAACAGAAGTGTAATTTCTCAGATGTTTCCATTCTCTGTGTTTCGAGAAACTTGGTGTAAACACCCAAAATATCAACCAATTCGAGATACTTAATCTCATCAACTTCAAATTTTTGGTGACCTTTGACAGCAATGATATTATTAGCAGGAGTTTTTGTAACTGTTAAGCCAAAATAAGTATACACTGGATTAGTTTGAGCATTATAAACTTCCAGAAAGTTACAATAATTTTTAAGCTCTGAGAACTCAAAGCTATTCGATTCCTTGTTGACTGGGCACCATTCATCTCAACAATATTACACCGTGAGCAAGAAACCTGACCATTCGAACCATGTGAAACAAAAATTTGGATGTTTGAACAAAATGTAAGCTCTAACGCTTTTGTCCAAATCCAACGAGTTGATGTTTGTTGTTGTTGTTGAAGATCTGACATATTAGGTTACTTTAAATCAATTCACTCCAGATTTAATTAAAGACAAACTTGTTTGATGAAGTTGTTTCACTTAATGAACTGTAAACGATCTGTCTAACACTCTTTATAACACTTAGACAAATAGCTACAGCGCAGCTGCGATCAAAGTAGTATCTAGATTATGTTAAGGCTTTTGATATTTTATCACAATATCAACAAAAGTGTTGTAAATTTCTTCCATTTTTGCAATCGATACATTACCAGTCATTACTACTGATGATGAAGCATAGTACATTAAACAAATGCCATTATTTCTCCAATAAATGGCAGGATAGATTTCTGGTTCATATTCAAAACATTTATTTTCTGATAACAATCTATGATTATTTACTTTGAATGGTAGCTTTGCTTTCATAGTTAAATTTATTTTTCTCATGAATTCTAATTTAATTTGCTTGAAGTACCGTGAGAACATTTCTTTTACATTTTTAATTGTTTTGAATCCTGTTACTATTACTTTCCCAGATGCAAAAACTAATAAACAGTTTCCATTCTCCTTAATTACTTGAGCATTATATTTCTTTCTATAGATTTGATCACTAGTATCAATTTTTATCTGATCGTTTGTCTTCCATAAAGAAACAAGATTCACAATCTCAAGCATAATGTTAATTACTGATGACGTCTACAGTCAATGTTTGATTTTCGTTAAAACAGCTTTACTTATACTTTGAACACTCACAAAAAATACTTGTCTTGAAAGTGGTACATCTATAACATTTCAAATTCATCAAATACATCCTATCTTGCTTTATTTCTATTTTTGCTTGCCATTTATATTGAAAATATGGAAGATCAAAATAATCAAAATTTTGATGCTCTTGTATCTAGTGTTTCTGCTAATAGATACATACGTCGTATTTTATCAATTGAATTGGCAACAATAAGAATCTACTCATTTTTGGATGGAAATTGGAATCAAAATGCTAATGTTTGTGTTTTATTTTGGCTGCTGATGGATTGTCTTTCGATGAATCCGAAAATGCAGTTATATGTCGGTTTTGTGATTTTTCTTCTGCAATTACACCTGAATCTACACATGAAGAAATTTTACGCACTCACCATGCATCTCAACCTCCTTGTGTCTATATTAATACGATAGACGTTGGTCTAACTAGAAATGGACTAGCTGAATCGCTACGACTGACATAAAAGAAAATGTACGCGATAATATCGTTGAAAATTTGTCATTCAATCCTTTTCGAGGTGAAGCTGAAGAAGAAAACCAGAGAACAAGAATGTTTCATCCATTGTTCAAACAATTTGCTTGTCGTATGAAAAGATTGGAATCATTCGAATCATGGAAACGAGATGATATATGTCGAACTGAACTTGCTGATGCTGGCTTTGTATACTATGGTAAATTGAGTGTTGTTTTGTGTTTTACTTACTTACTTACTTGCTTTTTTCTTACATTTAATTTACCCTTCTTACCAGATGTCGACAACAAAGTGATTTGTTATCAATGTGGTTGCATTGTTAATGATTGGTTTGAGAATGCAGATCCATGGTTAATTCATGCACAATCATCGCCATTCTGTTTTCATTTATATATCAAGTCAGGACAAGCTTTCATCGATTCAGCAAGAGAGGGCAGAGAACCATTTATTGAACAACCAGTTCTTTTTGCTCCTAACGCAGACAGATATACTTGTAAAATTTGTTTCGAAAATGAAATAAGTACAGTTTTCTGTCCATGCAATCACGCTATTGCATGTTACGAGTGTTCAGCCGAGCTAACAGATGAAAATTGTCCATGGTTTAGAAGAAAGCTTTGCGATGTAATAAGATTCCGCTTTTTTGATTAATGCTTCTCAACTTGATCAATTGATTGTGTACTTTGTTATTAATAATCACATTTATCTAAAATCAATTATTTGTAATAACAAATTTTCTCAACTGCATTAATCATTTAATTAAATGTTTTAATTAAATTAAATTAATTTAATTAAATTTCTTGCTTTTCAATAGTTCAACTAACGTTAAATTGTTACATTGAGTTATAACTTCATTTATGATTATCAAGTTGTAAAGTTCACTTCATTTATCAAAGTGTTTATTAAACAGTTTTTTAAAAGTTAAAGTTCTGCAAATGGATAATTCTGATTTCAATCGAAATCCTAACATAAGTGTTATTGTTAGTGGTCGTGCACGTGGTAGAATTGTGTCTCAACGCTATCATCCAAATGGTTCGGATCCCTTGCTCCCACCATTCGAGTTTAGACGACAAAGGAATTATCGACCTTTATATCGAGACTATTGGACTCTCTCATCAAGAATCAGAAGTTACAATCTTCCATCGAGACCTCCTTTTCCTTCCGATATCAATGTAACTAGCTTAGCAGAGGCTGGCTTTTACTACACTGGTAAGATAGAACACAATTACTTGTTTTCAATTTCACACATTAACAATTTACTGATTCATTCATTTTACTTTTCATGTTTTTAATTAGGCTTTGCTGACGGCACAGTCTGTTACAGTTGCGGTGTTTTGTGGGATATGTGGACTGCTAATGACGATCCTTGGGTAAGACACGCTCACTTATCACCAAAATGTTACCACATTTATCTGCATCGAGGGTCAAATTTTGGAGAAACGATAAGCAACAATAGATCGTCTGTTGAGGAAGCAATAAGACGATCAAATGGTGATGATGACAGGCACAAATGTAAAATTTGTTATGAAAATGAAGTAAATGTTGTATTTAGTCCCTGTGAACATGCAATAGCTTGTTCTGATTGTGCCTCAAAATTACAGCAATTACATGGTAACAGCAATTGTCCTTTTTGTCGAACTCCTTTGACTAATATTGCTAGATTGAGATTTGTAGATTAACGATTGCTTGATTTTGTTATCCCCTCTCCTTTGTAATCTTTTTCATCAATAATAAACTATAATTTTCATGCTTTCATAATTTACAGTTCGTTTTTCTGCAACCTCCATCATGTATTAACTTTCAAGCTGTTAGAATTGTATACTAAATATCTTTCATGAAGGTGCATTTTTTTTGGAGACTAATGATTATTCTTAACGATTACTCTCTGCTCTTTTTCAATGACTGGATAGAAAAGAAAATCAAATAATCAAGAATTTATTCTCCTTTTTTCAGAAATTTGAAATCTTACATTGTCTTTTTTTGAATGCATGAGTTAGCAATGAGGAGAAAGAATCATTGCAATCATGACGAACCAAATCCATTCACTCCGCGACTGGTGACTTCCATAATTTCACCTTCATCAACTTCTTCAAGCTCCGGGTACTCTATTTTTTCACAAATTAGCTGAGCAATTCTATCTCCTTTTTTAACTTGGAAATCTGAATCTCCGAAATTGAACAAGATAACTCCAACATTACCTCTGTAATCAGCGTCAATAACACCTGCTCCAACATCAATCGAATGTTTAAGAGCTAATCCAGATCGTGGAGCAATTCTACCATAACAACCATCTGGCACTTGTATCTGTAGATCAGTTTTAATGAGAGCACTTCCTTTGGATGTCACGTTGTTTTCATAAGCGCTGAACAGATCATAACCTGCACTCAATTCACTTGCTTTCATTGGTTTAATTGCATGTTCTGTTAATTTTTTGAATTTTAGAACTATTTTTCCTTGTTTGCTAAGTAAAATATTTGCCATTATTGCTTAGTGAGTAAATATTAACTTATTGTTGCATATAAAAGAAACTTTAAAAGTAATGGTGAAATTGTAGTACTTAAATATAATTTTCTCAAAACATAGTAGTTAGTTGAATATATAATTGATCTACTTCTTTTGCTTGGTTGCTTAGCTGCAAATTTCGAATGCGTGGGAAAATCTTTGCTTTTCATCATTTTGATCAAGCAATTTTACAAAACCATTAATTCTATCTACATCTTTATAATTGCACAGATTTCGGTAAATAAATTTCACGAGGAAAAAAATCTTCAGAATAAAATATACAATTGATCTTAAATAGATTAAACCAAGTTGGCATTTCAACAGTCACTCAATTAATTCTTGACAAAGCCTGAGTGTTCAATCAACCATGTTAACATGAAAAATACCTCAGAAATACTGAAAATCGAAAAATACCGAAATCGATAGTATCGATAGTATCGATTGTATCGATTGTATCGATTGTATCGATTGTATCGATTGTATCGATTGTATCGATTGTATCGATTGTATCGATTGTATCGATTGTATCGATAGTATCCATGATATCGAAGTTATCGAAGTTATAGTACTTATTGTTGTATAGATATTATCACTTACATTAATGACATTAAATGTAGTACTGCTGTAAATTTTTTATGACATAATTCCGATAACATCTATACCTAAACCATTTTTACCTTTTTGAATAATTGCAAGCAATTTACAATATATGGAAAAGCGAAAATTTATTGTGATACATACGTGTTATTAGTTGAAAAGTAATACATAAGAATCGTATATTTGGTTAAATATGTTAGTTGGTAAACGAAAAAGATAAGCTTAAATCCAATGATACATCAAACAACACAGGCTTGAAACAAAGAATCAAATTAGGTCATCATTTTAATCAAAGCAGTCATTCGTTGCCGAAGTTCTACACTCCAATAGGGCCGATTTTCCTCCAATTCACCAATTAGTTGTCGCAACTCTGCAACTCCTCTAACCCGGGTTCGATTTGCCTCACGCATTGCCAAAAACTCCTTAAATACATGGATGATGTGGTCGGCTTCATTTAAGTTGAAAGGATGACCTTGTCCACAAAAATATATCATTGCTCGAACTTTGGGTAATAAAGGTCGTTTTTAAAAATGTCAACACTTTAGAGAGAAGCAAATAAATAAAAGATTAACAAAAAATTAATATAAGCTAATATTATTCAACTATTTACATTACCTGTAAATCATATCAGGCATAGTTAAGCTAAACTCAGATGAGCACAACAAAAAATTGAATTAAAAAGTTTGTTTAACTTTAAAGTTAACTATTGCTTGAGTTGACTTGAAATGAATGATAAGTTAGTTACTTTTACGTTGGTTAACTTTGTTTCAATTAATTCACTCCTTCATATTGAAGAAAAACAATTCTAGGAAACGAACAAAAGGTTTGAATTTCAATCATGAAAAAATTGATGCAAGCAGAAGCTTTAAAATGCATCAAAACAATTCCTAGAAAACATTAAATGAGATGACTTTACTTTTAAAAATCAATTAACCAACAAGTAGCAGATCAATTATATTTACAAAGAATAACATCATTATCATCAGGCTATTAACCCACCAATAACTCTGCATAAGTTTTAAATTTCAGCTATTTCAATCAGCAACAAAAAGAGCAATTTGATTCTTTGCAATTACTAATTTTTCTGATAAAACCAGGGTTAACACCACCATAATGACGCTTCCTCAAAGACAACAGACGGAAGTGGCGTTAGGGTGGTGTGAACCCTGGTTTTTATATACTACTTTGTTTCATTGAATTAGACTCAATTATCCTATCAACTTACACATTTATCGTTGTTCCTCTTTTGATCAAAAAATTATTGACGATGAAATAACATCATTATTCAAAGCAGGGTTCATTAGAGAAGCAACTGGACCTTATGCATCAACAGTGACGTTAATTAAGAGAGAAGGGGAATAATCAAAATCAATGCTTTGAATCAATTTTCGTAAGCTCAATAATATAACTATATCAGGCCGTTTTGCAATGCCAAGGATCTTGGATGTGGTATGAAATTATTTGGATTTAAAAATTGTCCAGCAACATTTCAGAGAGCAATTAAATCATTTTCGAAGGAACAGGCACGTAAGTGATTGCTGTCATAATTATATTGATGACATTCTTATTTTTAAATGACGAACAATCACATTTTTAAGCTAATGAAGATTTCCAAATCACTTAGATCTGCGTCAATCAAATTGAACTTATCAAAGTGCCATTTCTTGAAAGAGGAGATGCATTATCTTGGACAGCGTATTGAGTTCAATGAATTTATGACATTTATGACCATTTATGACAATATTTCGTCTATTAGCGAAATGAAAGAACCGACTACTATTAAACAAGTACGACAAATTCTTGGCTAAGTATAGGCTAGATCACTGCATTGGAGATATTCATGGATAAGAAGCGAGGCCCTTGGGGCCGAAAATCTTATCAACGATATCATCGTTTTGGCGATTTTCAATCCAAATGAATTCTGGTTTTTTTCATCCAGAGTCGATTTAGGTGCTGTGTTAAAACTGAAAGAAAATGATAATAAGCTACATTCGATAGGTTATTTCAGTGAAAAGTTGACAGTATATCAACAGAATTATGCCATATCTGAGTGTTTAGCTGTTATTGAAGCCATCAAGTTTTGGCATTTATATCTTTATGGTAATTTGTTCACTATTATAGTCGATCACAGTGCATTGAAATCGATAATGAAGTTTGAAAATCCAGTATTTAGATTATTCACTTGATCATTGTCACCAAATTCAAATGACATGGTTGAGCGTTTAATATCAACAATCGTCGACAAATTAAGATGTAAAATGGTTGAGAATAACGAATAGAGACGAATATAGAATATTTGAATTGATCAAATTTTTACCACTTACATAATGTTCTTACATAATGTTCATGATAAATCATGATTACAATAATTTGCAATTGCAAAAAATTTGATGCATCAGAGAGCCGATAGTCAAGAGTTCATGTAAGTTCATATGTTCATTTAAGTTTCAAAACGTTAAATAGAAGGTTTTGAAGTTTTTAATTAGTTTCTTGCATCGAAAACATTCTTTTTGCATCCCCAATATTATGCCAGTAACGATTTGTATCATCAGGTCCATCAAGATTGAACTTTTTTACAGCAAGAAAATCATCAAAAGCCATTCTTTGCTCTATGATATGTACTGTTTAGTGAATTCCAGTCTTTTTTGCTGAGGTGAGGTTTGACATCCATTGAACAATATTTAAAAGGTTGGTTGTATTTATTGCCGGATGAATAGCCCATTTTGACACTGGTAACTGCAATTCAGATGAACTCTTGATTTCAGAAGCAATTTTCTTCAATGAAAGTCACTGTTTATGATAAAAATCAATTTGGCCCTCTTATCATCATTCAATTCAGTTCTATGTGGCATAATTGAAATTTAATTAAAACACTAATTAAAAAACAAAAACTTTCTATTCAACACTTTGAAACTTAAAAATTACTAGAATAATGCTCAGATTCTGAAAAAACGCAAAAAATGATCTTAAAACTCAAATTCTGTCCCTAAATTGCTTTTAGTTTCCTGTATCTGTTAATTAAAAACATCTGTATTTATAATTCTGCACCTAAGCAATTGCCGCGCTCAATCTTATTTAAACAATTCTAATCATTTTAACTCTTGAAATTGGCCGAGAACTTCGGTTTTACTCTTTCTCACAAAGATTAACTTAATCCCAGCGAAAAAAGACAGAAAACTTTAGTTCAATTAACTTATTTTATTAAAATTTGGGTGTATTTATATTTCTGCAACAGATTTTAGCTTGCAGTTAGTTAGTCTACGAAATAGTTCCTTTTCTAGCAGCAAATGTAAATCCAATTAATCCACCGGCGAAAGCCATAATGAATACTACTGTCCCCAATCCGATTGCTAAATTGAAATTATTTGATTTCTTCGATGATGATAGTTCTCCTGGATGTGGATTATTCTCACTCTGCCCTGTGATCTTCTTATGATTTATGTAAATTGAGCAAATTTTGCTGCCGCTCTTTGATTGTTCAAATAGTTCACGTTGATTAGCACTACCTGGTTTCAAGTTTGTCAATGAACAACTCGTCAATGGAACACTTCCATCGGAAATTTGATTATAGTCGATCGTTTCACAGAATTCAAGAGTAAAACAGTCAGGATCTGTATTGCATTTGGAAGCACAAAGTTCTAACGATAAATGGTCAAAGGTTGCAACAATTGATTCTTTCATTTCCTGTTTCAGTTCAAGTCCGAATTTGTGCTCATAATCAAGTTCATATTTTTCTGTGAAAATTAAAAAGGTTGAATAATTAGTAAATATTAACTAGATTCTAAATGAACGTTAAATTAATGTAAAGGCTTTTACTTGAATAATGAGAACATCCATCTTCAGCGTACTTCCAGTTTGTGACATTTATTTCATGAGCTTTATCTATCTCAATGTGTTTAACGTGTAAGAAACAAACAGATTCATTTCTGAAAGGAATTGGGGTAAAAAATAAAATGAAAATCCATTAGACAAATTCTTAAATGAATACACAGTAATATTACGATAGTTCCAATACAACTATCATTTGATAAACTTCAAAGCGATTTCAATAGTCAAATATAGAGTAACTAATAGTATAATGTAATAGGTAAGAATCATAAGTTGAAAGCTGCAATTCTGTAAGGCTATTATTATTATAACCTACTCAAAATATTTTAATATAATATGTGAATAATAAACTTCATCACAAATCAAAAGCAATTACTTTAAAACTCATTGGTTCCAATGATGACAATCGACTAAATTACAATATAGGCAATTAGACAATCATTTAGATGGATAAAATTCAATTTCATTACTTTTCTTGACACATAATATTAATAAAATGGAATAAAACAACAGTCTGTATATGCATGCGTGTTCACCTTAAATGATTGTCTAAT